GGAGCAGGTTGCTTAGGCGCTGGCTGTGGAAGTGTTGCCCAGAGCATGGGCGTGGTGGCCAGGGGAGCACAGCAAGGCCAGGCCAAGGGACAGCATCCAGAATGGCCAGGGTTGCCGAGCCAGGACGAGCGCCTACTTTAATGTCAATGCAGATGCCAAGTAAAAATAAGAATGTTTTCTTTTTTAAACATCTTTATTGGAGTATAATTGCTTTACAGTGGTGTGTTAGTTTAGAATGTTTTCTTTCTTAGGGGGTTACCCTGAATTTAAGACGTCTTTGTGCCAACCCCACCTTTTTGTCTATTCTTCTGCTTCCAACTCTTGTCAGTTTGACCCTCAAGCTGCACCAAAAGTGTAGCAATAGTCCTAAGCCCTAACTTGTGTAGCTGTTTGTCATTCTGTGTAAGATGTCACCACCTGTTTGTCTGCGGGCACAATGGGGAGAGTTGGCTCAGGAATTGGGAGACCCTGAGGGTAACGTTGGGCTTAATCCCCCTAGGCCTCAGTCTTCCCATCTTTAAAATGGGGTCATCTCCGTGGTTCCTCCCCCGACCCCTGTCTCTGTGGCCAGAGGACAGTCAGCTGTCCCTCGTGTTTAACCAGGCCAGTGGCCACATCCCCAGAGTGATCTGCCCTCCTGTCCTCTTATCTCACGAAGGTACCCGGAGAGCTCAAGGGGCAGCTCCCAAGTGGGGAGGGCATAACTGTGGTTGACACGGCTGTGGTGGGGGAGGTGACAGGGTGGGCAATGGGGACGGGGCAGGAAATGGCTATGTTGTAAATGCCACATCATCCAAGCTGGGCTGTGTCCCACTTGCAGTCAGGGCACCCGCCTCCTGCTCTGCCATCCCTTGATCCATTCCAACCTTCTGCCTGTCTCGGAAACCTCATATTCCTGACCCAGGCCTGATGCCAGGGGGCGAGCTGGGCAGAGGGCAGCGCAGCGTGAGTCAGACAGACAGGAGTGACCCGGGGGGCATCAGACGAGGATGGTGCTTGGAGAAAGGGCAGCTCAGTGACTGGGTAAGATGCTGAAGGCGCTGGCCTTGCAGCTGCACTTGTGTTCTTAAGCAGAGCACCTCGGTGTGTGGACTGGTTGTCCCCAGCCCTTAGAGAAACCATGTCCAACCTCAGAGACTTTGGTGGACTCCCTAGACACACTCAGCAACAAATGCTGTAAATCGCAGGTTGGCAGACATTTTCTGTAAAGTCCACATGTGACATGTTCTAGACGTGGGGGCCAGAGCGTCTCTGTAGCCACCGCTCAACTCTGGCATCACAGTATGAGAGCAGTTGTGGACAGAAGGTAAGTGAACGCTGGTGGCTGTGCCCCAGTAAAGCTCTATTTATAAAAACAGGAGTTGTGTGTACGTCCAAAAGAATGGAATGCAGGGTCATAGACTGATACTTGCCTACGTGCTCAGAGCAGCATGATTCACAATAGTCAAGGTAGAGGCAACCCAAGTGCCCATCAGTGGATGAACAGATAAACGACCTGTGACTTGTACACACAATGGAATATGATTCAGCTTGAAAAAGGAAGGAAATTCTGACACCTGCTACAGCATAGGTGAACCTCGAGGACATCATGTTAAGGGAAACAAGCCAGTCACAAAAGGGCAAATGATCCTGCTGAGACAGCTAGAGTTGTCAAATTCACAGAAACAAAAAGCAGATGGTGGGTGCCCGGGGCTGGGAGAGGGGGAGCGGGAGCTCGTGTTTAACGGGGACAGAGTTTCAGTTTGGGAAGATGAAAAGATTCCGGAGGTGAAGGTGGTGACGGTTACATGACAGAGCGAATGTGCCCAGTGCCCTTGAACTCTACGCTTAAACATTGTTACAATCATAAATGTTATGTCTATTTTACCACAATTTTAAAACTTAATGTAAAAAAACAGAACATAGACCAGATTTGGCCCGTGGGCCATCGTCTGCCCACCACTGCTCTGAATGAGTTAGTACTTGATAACCACACAGTGTAGCCACAGGCTTCGGGATATTATGTTCATCCAAGCTGCAGAGGGTGCCCAGGCCTCTCACAGTATCTGGATTCCCTCCTGAGCACCTGGGCCCTGTCTTCCTCCTTCCTTCCTTTTCCTACCCTTGCAGTCATTCCAGCGTCAGGCAGCCCTTTCTGTCCCTTGCCCTGTCAGGCCTATGTTTGCCTGACATTCAAATCTTTGGTTTCAAGGAAGGAAGGTGTCTCTCCCCATGCTCTCACACCGGCTTCTGGAGGGGCAGAGGGTGGATGGAGGTGCACAGAATCTCAGGGGGATCTGGAGGGCCGCTTCCAGATTCCCGAATAGCCAGTGACCCAACTCCCTCCCCTTTTTTCCTGAGTCAGATTCCAGCTTTTCCTGCAGCTGGGCAGGAGGGGGGCCTTGGCTGGCGTCCCCTTCTCCCCTGCACCTAACCCTAACCCAGACCCTCACCCTTCCCAGATTCTAACCCTAACCCAGACCCTAACCCTCCCCAGATCCTAACCCTAACCCAGACCCTCAGCCTCCATGCTGGGCTGGATATAAGCTTCCAAACAGATGTGGCATTGGTCAGTGCTGCCCTCAGGGGCAGTTGGCTGGGTCAGGACTGTGAGAACCATCTGTTCTTCCCTTGAATTACTCAGAGAATGACTCCCGTCAGCTCACACCCTCTGAGCCATTGCTCGGGATGTGGCTGGATAGGGGCAGAGGCAGGGGCCTGGATGGCCTTGGTACTGGCCTTTGAAGAGAGGCTTGGCTGCTCTGAGGCCAGGTGCTGCCCTGAGTGGCTTCCAGGGCTACCCTGACATGGGTCTGCTTAGGGTCAGCAGCTCTTCAATTAATCCATCCCCTTGCCAGCAAATTTGATTCAACTCTTAGTTTCTCCATGTCCCTCAGTGGAAATTGACTTGAATGCCTGGAGTTAAAAGACCAAAAGTTGTGAAACATCTCCCAGGGAAGGTAGCAGCTTATAAGCAAACATGCTGATTAAACATTGCTCTAAGTTAAGACTCCATTATTGCTAAATAACAGCTCTGGCTTGTTCTAGGAGGAGCCCTTTGACATACATAACAATTAACTTTGTTGAAGAAGTGAGCAGTTAACTGGAGGAGGAGGAAAAAAAGTGCTTTTGTGCAAAATAGGGCAGAACTAATGAGGTTTATGATGATAGAACAGTGTCTTGAGGTGGAAAATGAACTGAGAATCATAATTGCAGAAAACTATATATAGAGCACTTACTACCTGCTGGGCACTCAGCTGGCTCTTTATAAAGAGCTGTACCTGACTCTGTACATATATATAGAGAGAGAGTCTTGGAGCAACCGTTAAAAGTAGTAGTTAGTTTTCTCACAAGGAAACTAAGACTCATGGAGGGTCTGAAGCCCAGGTCACCCAGCAGGAATGGTTGAGTTGAGGTCTGTCCTAGACCCAGTGAAGGATTGAAGGAGCCTTGGAGAAGAGCCAGAGAGAGAATCCCAGCTCTTAATACGGCCAGGATTTCTTGAACACCCACTAGGTTCAAGGCACTAAACTAGGCACTGTAAAGATGATACCTGCTTACCCTCATGACGATCACGGTATTCACTGTTCTGTGCTTGTAAGCGACAGAAACACCCTGGAGCAAGCTTAAGTGAACAAGGACGTTCTTTACTTCAAGGACAAGTGGGTGTCTCTAGAAGCTCAAGAACAGGATGCATCCAGGCTGCCAGGCTTTCTGGCAATGAGCGCTGAAGGGTATAGTAAAGTGGGCTCTCTCTGTAGATACTCGCTTGATCTTCTTGTGGAAAGATGTGGAAATGGCCACTCAGAATCTCCACGTCCCTCCAGGTCTCTGCCTGGGCCGGTCCACTCTGCTGGGGACATCTTGTAGCAGATGCAATGTCTGTGAGTAGAAGGTCTTGGTGAATTGGGTGGACATTAGTCCTACTTAAACAACTGCATGGGGTAAGTAGTTTTATCCCCATTTTACACGTGAGGAGTTGAGATTTGCAGGAGGTGAATCTTGCCTGAGATCACACGATCATTGGCGGTGAAGGGAGTGGGCAGGGCTTGGATTAGGTCTATCTGACTGGAAACCTAGGCTCATCATCATGACATCTAACTGCTCTAGAGGACAATTCACCCTAAATTCACTCTTTAATCAGATGCTGGAAAGGAAACTAGGATGGTTTAGCCTGAGAAGGGCAGCGTGAGAGTCTATAGAGTATTCGGTCAGAAAGCTCTCCTCTTCAGTTAGAAAGCTCTGCTGTCAAGGATGGTGACCAACCAGGTTGTTTTCAACAACCAGTGGAAGTTAGAACGAGAAGCAGGTCTTCTGAGAACAGTGTCCTTATGCTCCAAGGTCATGACACATGAGAGCAAGTTGGTGCTGCGGGGAGTGGCCAGCGGGAGCAGCCCATCAGAGGGCCATGTTCACCGCCCCTCCACGTCCCCTTCAGGCCTCAGGCTGAAATCTGTCCTGACAAACCACTGCTGGCAGAAAACTGGGACACCCTGGGGGCTTGGATGTTCTCAGCTGACCTTTCCGCTATCCCCAAGCAGATGAGGCTGAGTGTTTGCCTTGGCTCCCTTGTTGCACTTGAGAGTGAATGTTCATTCTTAGATATTTCAGTTTACCCATGGGGTGGAAAGGATGGAGTTTGTTTATAAATGAATATTTTGGTGCAGACCTGACTTGACACTAAGCTACTTCAGGGATGCTTGACCCTAAATGAACATTAATTCATGTCTAAAAAACTTGGCCAAGATAATACAAACTTTAAATGATATGACCTCATCGCAAGATTTGGGGAGTGTGTGCTTCATTGGAAAATACTACCTAGTGTTGTTTATCCAAAAGGAGTCTCTGAATTGACCTTCATGTTCACAGACGCTGAGTCTGCCAGAGACTTGAGTGGGGAAGTGTAACGAAGGGTATGTTTCCTTTGGGAGCAGGACGAGCCTCTCAGAGGAAGATGTTTGTGGGATGCAGAATTTTGAAAGACTGTGTTGACTGGTGATATCCTGCTTCTTGTTTTGCAGATCGGAAACCTGGAAGATTACTACCACTTTTATCATAGCAAAACCTTTAAAAGATCGACCTTGAGTAGCAGAGGCCCTCACACCTTCCTCAGGATGGACCCCCAGGTACAAATCTCTGCTCCCTGTGCAGGATGCTTCTTTAGGGCCTAGGGTATTGTTTACTTATTGTTTGGGTCTGTGGTTCTGAAAATGCCTGAGTCTGGATTTTAATGGGATTCTAGATAGCCTTTAGTTTTCCATATCCTCTTGGAATAAAACAAGAAAGATGTGCAGCTACATATCAGACCATCTAAAGGCTCCAAATATTCAGGTTCCTTGGGAGACTTGGGAATTTAAATTCTTGACTTCAGTTTGAAGTAACAATCAAATGACTACAGATCTAATATTTTAAATCTTTAAAAATCAACAAAATACACAGTAGTCAGAGGAGATAAATATGTGAATCTTACCTATAAAGGCTATGCAATTCAAGCTAGCATTTTAAAAATGAAATTAGAATTTGGACAAGTGGATGTTTTTGTGATTGTCATAACACATATCTTAATGGTTACCATGAACTTAAAAACCTGGGAAGTAAATATAACTTTTTTCCGTAAAAATTCCTGTGATCTCTGAGATGAAAACAAATGTAATTTGAAAAGAGGCTGACATTTTTAGTATAGTTCATATTTATTGGGTGGTTAATTATACTTTCTTTCTGCATAGATTTTAGATTAATATTTGACAAATATCAATCAACAGATACTTGGTAAGATTAAAAATGTCAGATGGTCAAATGAGCCTTTGATGACTTCATTCATTCACCAGGTGATTTTGGAATACCTGCTATGTGTCACGCTGTGTCCACAGCAGGGCTGTCAGAGTGGATGGTGGGGCTGACAGTCTATAGAAGAATATGTGATATGTCACAGGGCACTGAGCGCTATGAGGGACAGTGAAGTTCAAGTGAGAAGCAGTAGCAGCCCCAACAAAGAAATGAGGCCATTGGTAAATCGTAGTTTTAGAACATGGAAGTCACCTTCTCTTAAAAGCAATGTGTAAAATGTTCACTTGGGCTCCAAAGCTGGCACGTGTCACTCCTTCAGTGATTCCCAGAGAACGTGGATAATAAAGCTTCCTTGGGGAAATTGGCCTTGGTGTTGTCCCAAGCCACCCCACTGATAATCGGGGATACTTTTGTGTTGGCGGAGCCGGGGGTAGTGGGAGAGATGGTGTATCCCTGAGTATTGTACCTAAAACATTTTTCCAGGACATGACCTTATGGTGGTCTGGTTTTAAGAACATGAGGAAGTGGTCCCTGTGAAACTGTGACGAAAGAAACGGAAGAACAGCTTCAGGGCTAACAGCACATTTTGGCTTCTGTAAGAAACTTGCTTGCTTGCTTGGGGCGGGAAGAACCGGGTTCCTGATTGGCTGATTCAAAATTAAACAGCTCCCTCCCGCCTTGGGGACTTCCCGCCCTGTGAAGGGTATAAAAGCCTCGCCCGACTGTTAGTCGGGGTCTCACTCACTTCTCTCCGAGTGGGACCCTGTCCAGACAGTTTGTGTAAGCGTCTATACTTGTATAAATCCTTTGCTAATCTTTCTACTTGGTGTTGGTGATTCTCGGGTGTCCTTGGTTGGGACACGGGTCGCATTTACTGGGGAACTCGACTCCAGGCGTGTGGCTCCCGGACCGCAACAAAACTAATTCGTGCAGTTGGGCTCTGACAAGGTAGACATGTAGTGTATGGTTCTGAGTTCATTTTATAGGTGGGTAGAAGGCTGGATGGTTTGGAAGTGTGGGTGGGTGGACAGACTGAAGGAGATAGATAGCAAATATTGTGCTAATCCCATTCTTCCTTCATAGCAGGGAAAGGAACTTAATGTTTTTGTTTTGTTTGTTTGTTTTTTTAATTATTCATGCATGCATGGATGCATGCTGCGTCAGGTCTTAGTTGCGGCATGCTGGATCTTTTAGTTGCAGCACGTGGACTTCTTACTTGCAGCATGCGACTCTTACTTGTGGCATGCAAACTCTTAGTTTAGGCATGCATGCAGGATCTAGTTCCCTGACCAGGGATCGAACCCGGGCCCCCTGCATTGGGAGCACGGAGTCTTACCCACTGGACCGCCAGGGAAGTCCCAGGAATTTAATGTTTATGAAGGGATTAGTATGTGCTCAGGCAGCTTACATGCATCCTCCCACCTGACCGTTTGGGGCTGTGTTTATACCCTTGTGTGTTCATGCCATGGAGCTTGAGGGAATGCTTTTCAAAGGGGCTGGTGTATTTTTTTTCCCTCTCAGAAGCAAAGCCAGGTGGTAGTAGCTCATTCCCACAGGATGGGGCCACTGGAGAAGGGCCAGCAGACCCGAATCACCGTAGAGCTGAGTGCAGAGTGCCCAGCCCATCACCAAAAGACATGTGGGTTCTGTGCGGCTGCGGGGTCGGGGGAGGCGGGGTGGGGGGCTGAGGTTCGCAGTGATCAGTCACCTCTCAGAGTGCGGAGACGTTTCTAAGCTAGGAAGGGAGTTGCTGCAGTGCCCTCCACAATTTCTCTTAAGCAAGCAGTGGTCTGTCTTGTGAGGACAGCATACTTGTTCTCTGTCCGAAGTCTTCGGAGTTAGCGTTCCCACAGAGGGAGTCACAGCGAGGTGCGCTCTGTTTGCATGGGGGAGCCCCTGCCCGCCCCCAGCCCTGTAGAGATGTGCAATGAGAAGAGGATGGGACAGTGGGTTTCTTGGTCCCCTTTCTGTCACTGACCAGGGTTCTTAGCCTCCTAATCAAAAGAAATTGATAAAAGGCCAGACAAGAAATTCAGGCAAGGCTTTATTGGGGCCCCGCTGCAGCAGAGGGGAGCGGGAACAAACAACAGGTGCCCTTGCTAGCTCCCTGATGGGGGCTGAGCCTGGTCCTTATATGGGGTGAGGGTAGGGGGTGTGTCCAGAATTCGGGCCAGAGGGGTGGCTTAGGTGGTGGTGAGTGCAGGGGGCATGCACAGTACCCTGCGTTTGCTCCTGATCCCCTGCTTTTGCTCCCCGCTCTTCAGAAGTGGCAGTTGGGTTTTTGGTCTTTTTGTATCTTGCTGTGCCTAAATTGCCCCAACTGTGCACTGCATGCAGTTACTTTTTTAGTCCCTTGTAGTTTCTTTGTATTTTGTTGCTTGAGGAGACGTTTGTCCAGGTGCAAGCACTGCGGCAAAGGGTCCCAGGTCCCAGGTCCCAGGTCCCAGCCTGTCTCATTTCCTGAGGGATTTTGGAGAATGAAGCTGTTTCTCAATTGTTAGAACTATTAGTTAGACGTAATCTGTGTTTTAGGGGGCCCCCCACTCTTTTTTAGTGACTAAATTTTAAAACTCTTAAAGGTATTCAACTCAACTCCTCCATCCTTCCTTTCAAAAGTATTAATTATGCACCTGCTGGGTGTGAGGCCCTGTGCCCCAGGGGATGCAGAGATGCCCGCCCAGCGGGTCTCCGCTCTGTCAGCACCAGCGCAGCAGGACACTGCAGCCCGAGCCTCCGTCCGCTGAGGAGAATTCCGGGCGAGCCCCAGCCAGCCTTCTCCCAGGCATCTGAGATGATGGGCTTGGGCATTGTGGATGGGTTCAAAGTACGGCATTCAGTCTGGGTCTGAGGGCAGGGTGTTCCGGTCATCAGCTGTGTCCTTGAAGGAAAGAGAAGGAAGGAGAGACTTCCAAAGGCTATGGCAGTTAAGTTTTTCAAATAAAAATTCCTTTTGTACAGAGCTTCTTAATAAGCTCCTGGCAGGGCCGTTATCAGACCATCCTGCCAATAAAGAGGAAAGAGAAAAGGTAAACAGCCCTCACATTCCAGCACTGCCTGCGACTCCCACGTGATTGGCTGATTGTTTCCTACAGTTCTAATTAAATGCTTAGCCCCAGGGAACGCACATAGACATCTGAACCCAATTCCGAATACAAATTCAGAATTGTAACTGAAATGTCTCTGTTTAAATCAGTCTAGTTTTAATGCAAACCAAATCAATTAGCTGTCACTCTAATATTTACCTAGTCGTTCCAGTGAAATATTGGGTAAAATTAGCTGTTTTGCAAAAGTGTTTAGTGTTACCTTGTCCTGCAGCACCAGGACATTTTCCCACATGAGCAAAGCATTTTTGTGTCACCTTCTCGATTGGAGAGTTATGTAATTAATATTATTGAGAAAGGGAAAAGATGATTTAATATTATTCAGAGTCATTGGAATGCAGTTGCCATCGTGTTTGAATGACCAAACTGGAGATGAATGTTATAGGGTTTAGGATAAAGCTCAATCGAATGCAGATGGTATTTTATTTTAATTAGCTCCAGTCCCTATTGTATAAAATTGCTTTGATAAGTGATGGAATTTACAATCCACCCCTACTTCGTGTGAAAGCTGATAGAGTGTACATTTGTTGAACAAAACGGAAACAACACACGAGCGGGAGGGAAGATTTAAGACTTCAGTCACACGTGCACACACATTTATTAAGCATCTCTTTGCTCCGATCTCATACCAGCATCATGCGGTTGTTTTCCTTCCATTCTTAATCACCTTTACTTGATGTTTTTAACCACCTTTGGAAAGGGCCATTTTGCTCGAAGGGGTCTGTGGACCAGCCCTCTCCTTGGGAGAACAGCCCAACTGTTCTCAGGGTGCAGTATCAGTCACTGGGTTTTTCCAAGGGCTGTCATTTAAGCCAACTGAGGGCATTTGTTTTTAACTTGTTCTTTTGCCAAAAGTCGGGAGAAGGGTGGATGTTACTGAAGCACCAGCCAATAGCTGTAAGGGCTCCCAAATTTTTTTAAAATTACTTGTTCTGATTACGGTCCAAGCTGGCTTATAGTTCGACATTGCTGCTGCATCTTCCAACCCTTACATTTTAGAATGATGACTCTGGTTCAGCCCTTCCCTTGCGTGCTCAGCCAGATGGATGAGGGAAATGGGAGGATAAAGATGTTATTAGGGGGGCTCTCGGTGGCTCCTTCCGGGGTGGTGGGAGGCTTCGGGTTGACGCTTTGTTTCAGTCCTTCAACGCTCAGGAGCTGGAAACTGATTTCCAGGGGCGGAGTGGGCATTCTGTTTTGTAGGATGGGACTTTGCCCCAGAGTGTAATCAGAGCTCA